CCCCCCCCCCCCCCCCCCCCCCCGCCGGCCAATCCTGGAATGCTGCCTGTCAGGCCGGCTCTTGGCGTTTCTCCCTGTCCTCTGGAGCCACCCATCAGCACAGTACAGATTCCTGTTGCCCACTGTGCCTGTGCTCACCCTCATTAGGGCCTGGCCCAGTCACATGGGTTGTTGGGGGCCCGGGACCACGGGGTTCGTGTACTGGGGCTGCTTACAGCAGGCATTCCCTGGGGAGATGCTCATGGCCACACTGATGACCCGCGGGTCAAATGGGGAGCTGGAGCCACATACCAGGTACAGCCGTCACATTCACTGGGACACCTGGGCCAGGGCAGCACTGAGATAGGTGGCTCCCACTGCTGCGGTGACACACCGGTAAGCCTTTGACTTGCCTGCTGCTCACCCTGACTTGGAGCCAGTCAGGGACCTTGTCCTCGGGAGCCCCAGGGCCAGGCCTTACATCCAGCATTCTCAGATGCTTCTTTCAGAGCAGACACTAGATGGTGCCACCATCCCCCGGCAAAGCCTGGCATGGGCCACACACCGTTCCTGCTTCCAGATGGGGAGGCGGGAGCAGAGGGTGCTTCGTTAGCCAACTTTCGGCCTTTCCACTGCACCAGATCGGGGTAGGAGGCCTGGGAGACCTCCTCTGGTGGTGGGGGACTTCCGCTTCCCTGGCCCCACCACTGGCTACCTTTAAGCCTGTGTCCTCATGGAGAGAAAATAGTCCTACTCTTGCCTACCTCGAAGGACTGGTGTGAAGGGAGAGGAGTCAGTGGTAAACACACTCCCCGCCCCCAGGAGCTTGTCTGGGGGAGGGGTAAGTGAGAAATATGAAAACAATAGGAGAAAAACACTGGAGGTAGTGACTGGAGCAGAGACATCCCTCCCTATGCCTGAAGGGAGAGGGGCTGGAGGGTGGGTGATCCCGGGGCAGGAGGAAAGAATGTGTAAGGTGTCAGAAGGAGGAATGCCTGGGACTTGGGCAGGTGGTCAGTTTGATAAGGTCTGGAGGGGACCTGGAAGAGTAAGGGAGTTAATACCAATACAGAGCAAGCCCCTACAAGTGCAGCATGGGGACTGGAAAAGAAACAAGAGGTGCCAGCTGGTGCCTGGGCCCAGGGTAGGCATGGCACCCGCGATCAGCAGAAGGCTTGTGGAGCTCAACGCCTGGCTCAGAAATGAGGACTTGGGCTGTGGGAGGGAGTTTGGGGGAAACACCAAAGGCGGAAAAACCCCAGCCCTGAGATCTGTCCCTCTGCCCTCGTCTCCCAGGTCCCAGGTTCCCTGCCCTGCTTCAGCTCTGTGCTCGGACCGTTCCCCCACAAGCCTGCTACCTGCCTTCTCTCTGGGCCTCAGCACTCACTTGGGGCTAATGCAGGAGCATTACGTTAATTAGTTATTCATTTAATTTAACTTCACATTTGGTCTCAATTAAGCTTAAAGTGTTCTTCCTTATAGATGTTACAATAGCACTTGTAATTAAAAAGCAATAACTCTTTGCATTTCTCCTTTAGAGAGCCATTGGGAGGCTGGGGTTGGGGGGGGGTGCGGGAAAGAAGTAATGAAAAGAAAGGGAACCCTTGGCACTCTGAGGCTTTCAGCAAGACTGAAGTTGGGGGAAAGGAGACTCAACACATCATGGGTGTGGGGTGGGGGCCCTGGGGACCAGAGAGTGCTCCTGGAGATAAGGGGGCAGTGAGGTGGGGAGGGTGGAAGGAAGCGATCCTTAGACATGGAGGGTGGGGCCTGATATTCTGTGGCTGGCAGAACAACGCCCCCGCCCCCAAAGATGCTCACAGCCTAATTCCCGGGGCCGTGAATATGTTAAGCGCAGATGTGATTAAGGACCATGAGATGGGGAGACTATGCTGGGTTATCAGGGTGCGCTCCTTAATCAAAGAGGCAGGCAGGAGTGTCTGTTGTCGGATTAGAAGATGCTGGCTCTGAAGACAGAGAAGGGTATACTGGTGCAAGAGTGTGGGCAGCCTCTAGACACTAGAAAAGGAAAGGAAATGGGATTCTCCCCGAGAGCCTCCAAAACCTTTATATTAGCCTCGTGAAACCTATTTCAGATTTCTGATCTCCCAAACTGTACAATAATAAATCTGTATTCTTCGAAACTGCCAAGTTGGTGGTAATTTGTTACTACAGCAGTAGGAAGTTATTACATGTTCCCAGTGTAAAACTGGGACATCAATTTGAAGACAGAAAAACCCAAGAAATCCCCAAAGATTAAAAGAAAACAAGTGGAGGGGATGGCTATGTAGCATTTAGGTACAGCATAAACGCTACCCACGTTAACTACCCTGAGTTCTTCTGAAGGCAGGGCCTGTGCTAAATGCACATTCTTCAGGATTCCCAACATGATGTGATGAATACCAGAAAAAGAAACTTTCTTTTTCTGTGGTGTTGGGCCCAGATTTTGATCCCTGTCATTTCTTCGGTCTCAAGAAACTGAAACAAGAAGGGTGTGTGTTGGGGTGGGGTTGGGGGCTGGGGTTCTGGAAACTTTTTTCCTTGAGTAAACGGCAACCACCAATAATGATGTTAGAAAGAGAGATCAAGAAACAAATACATTCTTGGTTTGTGGCTTTGATTCTTCCAGTGGCACTTCTGAAAACCAACCCAAGTATCAAACATTCCAGTGGACCATGCTTAAGAGAGAGATGGCTGTGTGTGTCCTTGAAAACTCCATGTATGGGCTGCTCCACTGAATCTCTCTCTCAGCCACTGAGGAGCCAAGTCCAACAGGGCAAAGACCCACCAAAAACACAGGGTGGATGAGAGCACTTGTCTGTGAGGTCCTATGTAGCTTTTGTCTCTTTGTCTCGGACTCTTGCCCAATCCTAAGATTCTGGGTTTTCCACTAGACTCAGTTGCTGCTTTTTTGGTATTTCTATCAACTGGATTTAAATCACTTGACCTTGGTCCCTCGTTTTTCTTTATTTTTATTTTATGGAGCAAGATAGTGTAATATAAAGTATGTAAAAGCTTAGACTGGAGCCAAACCATCTGATTTGAAATCCTGACTCCTATTTAACCTTGAGCTAAGTGACCTCAAGCAAATCACCTCACCACTCTGTACCCTGTCCCCATCCGTGAAATGGGGATAGTAAGAGTACCTACCTCATAGGGTTGCTTATGAGGATGACTTAATATTTACAAAGCATTTAGGAAAATGCTTAGAACACGTTTGGTAAATATAATGAAAATTGTGATTTCAGCCTGTGAGGAATAGAATATTTCCAAGTATTGGGATGGAAACAGAGAATAAAGATTGAACCCTATGAACTATGAAATCCTGTCCAACCTTGACTTTTTGCGCTCCTGTGAGGATAATCAACACTTCATTTCCATACCGTTTCCACATCTGGAAACTTGCTCCTATGTGACAACAGCCAAATACTTAAAGGTTTAAGCCAAGAAGTTATGACAAAATATTTATTATTTGTACTGTATATGTTAACTAGAGATTCTTTAATGAAAGTTTTACCTTTTTTAGACACGGGTTAGGGAAAAGATGGGTACCAAGAGCTAAAAAAATAATATTAACCAATGTAGAAACAAGGAGTTGTTTGACAGCCAAAAATGATCTTTAAGTTATCTGAAGAGTGAGATGTCAGGAATCCCCATGTCAAGTTTGAGCCCCACTAACTAGGGAAACTTTTAAAATCCCTTTCACCTCTCTGCCTGTTGTTCTTCCGTAAAATAATTGCAGCAGGTTTCTTTACATGTTGAATAAAAATCAAAGTAAAATAAAAATTCTTCAACTGAAGCAGCAACGAAATGGTTGATGGAACAGTTTATGTCTTAGAGAAGTTCTAGAACAAGACATGGATTGCTTTATGTTAGAATAAAAACATTAAAAAATAATTTGGCGGCTTTTATCCAGGGATGGTTAGGAAGACAGCCTAGACAGCTCAGAGGCTACTTCTTAGGCTAGTCTATCCCACCAGGACTGATGCTTTATACCCAACAGGTACACAGTAGATATTGAATGAATGGCAGTGCATGCTGGATGAAGCATGACTGAATGGCTATGCATTCTCTCGTACCTGAACTTTGGTACAATAATTTTGATGAATTTTTAGATCAAATAGCTGATACCATGTGTCAGTAAAGAATGTTAATATTACTCCCATTTTTATAAACGAGAGATTTAAGGAACTTGCCAAAAAATGACCTAGGAGGTGTGTTTTGTGGGCTTGAGGGACTTCTAACATATATCACACAGCACCACCTAGCAGACTAGATCAATGTCTCCATTGTGGGGTAGTGTGGCATCACTTTTGTCAGGATACAATTTTAGCTAATTTAGCTTTTGTCAGGATACAATTTTAAGAGGCTATGAAATCATCTACTTTTTATGTGGAACTCTTGATTTGCTCTCCCTCTCCAACTTGTAAACAGTGGGGATCACCACAAGTCTCTCGGCTACAGGATCCCCTCTGGGTAAGGAACAGTATAGCACAACCTGCTCTAAGGCCATTGATCAAAGAATGATGAATGGGACATTAAGATGACCTCTAAGCCCTGTCTCTAGGAAGGCAGTGGGCACAAGGGGTGCCATATTAGACATTGTAGGGGTGGCCCATGTAGAACTCTCAGTGAAATTCACGTTTCAGCCTTCTACTTCTTATCCCACACACAGGGGGTTAGCTACAACTGCTCTGAGCATGAAGGTAGAGAGTAATCTATCATTTCCCCACACTTGGTAGTTATGGATTTGGAATCTATAGGAGGCAGGCCAACCTAAAATACTTTGTACAAAGTATATATTTTTTCCCCTGTCATTTATATCTGTGCAAAACACACACACACACACACACACACACACACACACACACACACACGCGCGCGCATTAGGTAGCCGTGGTATTTGGGAAGGGATTTAGTTTCCAACCTTCACACATTTTTCCCTGTGTAAGCAGTCACCCAAAACTTCATAGCTATTATCCATTGATCTCAAAGTTGGACACCTTTGTTTGGGAATAAAAAAGGATGATGCAAGGTCAAGATCTACAAGTTTTCCCAGATTTGATTTGTCAGCAAGTCTCTCAGGAGGTGACAAATGGCAGCCCGTGCTTGTTAGGAGTCCGTGCTCCACTTGGGCTGGTTCAATGTCTCTGCACAGAGACTCACTGGTATCTGGAAGCTTCAGTGCAAGTGTTCAGAGAGGAGGACAAAGCCTGACTCCCAGCTTGCCCAACTTCCCTCCATATGTTTGCATTCTCCTTTCTCCCCTCCAATCTGGTTGGAGGGATATTTCTCCTTTCCTTACCTGTGGGCCCTAGGCTAGACGAAGAGACGATTTCCTTTGAATGGTTCTATGGCAAAGCCTTATCTGCAAAGGTTTTCTGAACTGAATAAGATACAGTTCAAATGCAGAAATAAATATATCTGGCCCTCACCAGCCCATGACTCCCAAAAGTCACCCATTCTCTCCTCTTTTAACTTAGAGCTTAGCCCCCACTGGGGTGGTGGGATGGGATCTTCTCTACACTGACAAGAGGATCCAGGCGAGAAAGTGAAGGAGATGTGGCCCTGACTTCCTCAAGCTCTCAAAGTCCCACAAAGCTCAGCAGGCTTTCTTTTCAGTCCAGAGACAGGCCCTGGAGTCTGTTACGCCTGGGCACACACACTGGATGTTATATGATGCCTGGGCAAGTTAGTTCATCTCCTTAAGCCTTAATTTTTTTCTACTTTAAAACGAAATGATAAAAATAGATAATAATCTATAATAATTACATATATAACATATATATTATATATATATAATCTTTAAACCTAAAATTTAAATAAATTGGGTTTCAGGGTAACTAGTGTCATATTGGCATAAAGTACGTGCTCAAAGTTCTCCTTCCAACTTGTTTTCTTGTTCTTAATTTTAAGTCAGAAGATCCTTCTTCATTTAGTTCTAGGGAGTCAGGAGAGACTTCCAAAGTAGAAACAGCCCAGAGTCCCTCCATTTAATGACAAATCTTGGGTGATCTAGGATTTCAGATAGGCATAAAGTTGTATCTATTCCTAGGAACATACATTTCTTACCAGCTTTGGAGAAAGAGCTACAAAGATGAAAAGAAATGATAATAATCCAAAATGGACTTTATAGTAATTAAAGAAGGCACACAAAGGCTACCAAATCCTGAAAGAATCCAGAGATCCACAGAAACAAGACAAACAATCAACATTTCCATATCCTTCTTCTAATCCCCAAGCAAACTTGAAATATAGAATATAGACTGAGAAAGTCTTGGCCAAGAGTCTGAGGTGAAAGTCGGTCCTTCGGTTGTTTATTGCTTTATTATAGCAGAGAGAAGTGACACCCATTGCTTGTATAGATTCTGTGACACCATATGCACACTGGTCAACAACCAACATCTGGGTAAGTCTTCCAACTCATCACATTAAAATAAGCTTTCGAACTTGGAGTGCCTTTCCTTTCCAACTGATCCCAACCTTGTAACTAAGAATCTTGTGTATTATCAAAAGGATGAGATTCTGCTGTCTACTGGACAGGGGAAGCCAAAGTGCTCCTTTTCCCAAAATCCACTTAATGATGTCTTGATTGAAAATCTACCAGAAGCAGATCACTATCTTTATTTCCCTGTCAAAACAGAAAACCTGAGGAACAAGTGCTAAGAAGATAGCAGTATCCCTCGGAAGATGGTGAGAATCGCCTCTGCAGGGCCAATTTTGCAACCCCATTTTTGGAATCCAGGATTCAAGAGATTTATCCTAGTCATGAATGGATATTTCTCTGATCTTAAGGCATGAAGGCTGTCAAAACAAGGCTCTGAACAGTACCTTTCTGCTCATTAATGATATCAAAAGCGAAGGACAGAACAGGGTCTTGGCTTTCCTGAATAGTGCTCAGTAGGACCGCAGTGGTTTGGCATAGATTGGCTCCAGGATATGATGAATGAGAACCAAAAAGAGGCCTCCAAGGAAGACAGCAGTGAGGAAAGCCAGCAGGACATAGCGGCCAATGAAAAAGGAATCCACAATCTGCAGGAAGAAACATCAAAAAGGAAATTACTATCACTTCAGCACCCTGGTTGTGCTCATCTGAAATCTTTGATGAGTGGGCCCAGAGTCTGTTTGTATTTGTGACTTCCAGAAACATCCTGATCTGAGTCTCTTCTGTAAATGGTTGGGAAATAACTCCCTGAGCTGGAAATACAAGATAAAGAAAAGATTAATGAAGTACAGGGGGGGAAAAAAAAGGCTCAATATAGGAGGTTTCATAAACACTCCAAAGACCTTAGATGAGCTCTTTTATGTTCTGAAATCAGTTATCTGAAGGAGTTCATGAGAAGCTTGCTTCCTTGGTCTTAGAAAGTCTCATTTTTGTTGTTGTTAACTTTTTATTATGGAGAATTTTAAATATATATAAAAATATAACAGCATAACCCCCTGTATCCAAGATCGAAGCCCCCAACTCATCAACCTGCTGCTGTTTCAGGAGGGCTCATTTTCAAAATGGAAAGGTGATTCTTGAAAATTTTCATCAGAAGTGTCCTGAACTCTAACATTCATAACCCAGTACTCCAAGGGTTAGGTTAAATGGCCTTTTGCCTGAGACACTAAACTCCTTACAGGATAAATAACGTGCCCTAATCATACAGTTGGCTGTCTGGCAACCAGTCATACTTGAGGCCCCAAAGCTGTTGGTCTTTGCTGACAAAACCTATACTTCAGAGTTGGCTCTGCCCACTTGTCCACTGTCCACTGCCAGGGCTCTACTCTCCCCAGACCCAAATGGTCCCAATGCTTAAATTGGGACAGGAAAAAACAACTGAATTTATCGATCTAATGGAGAGGGAATATGAACCAAATGACAGGGTGATTTCACAGCTTCCCAAAGGGAACAGAATCCCAAATGCTTGAAAGGCAATGGAGGTAGACAGGATAGTGACCCAAAAATGTCTACATCCTAATCTCCAGAAATGGTGAATATGTTAGATTACATGGCAAAGGAATTAAGGTTGCTGATTGGCTGACCTTAAAATAGGGAGATTAGCCTGAGTTATCCAATCCAGGTGGGCCCGGTCTAATCACATGGGTCCTTAAACATGGAAGAGCGAGGTGGAAGAGAAGGTCAAAGAAAGAGATGTCAAGATGGAAGTAGAGTCAGTGGGATGTTACCTTGCTGGTTCTAAAGATGGAGCCAGGGGGCCACCAGCCAAGGGTGGACTCTAGAAGCTAGGAAGGGCAAAGAAACAGATTCTTCCCCAGAACCTCCAGGAAGGAGTACAGCCCTGCCAACCCCTTGATTTTAGCGCAGTGAGGCTGCATTTGGACTTCTAACTTACAGAACTGTAAGACAGTACATCTGTGTTGCAAACCTAAGTTGCTGATTTGTTACAGCAGCAATAGGAAACTAATACGGTGGCAATACACAAAGTACCTGTCAAGTCCTAGCGCTGCTCTGATTGCTGAGATCCAAAGATACCAAGAAGAAAAGGGCCGCTCCAGAGATTACCCCAACAGCCAACTTACAACAAAGGTCAGTTTGATAAAACAGCTTTAACATAACTTTGACCTTGGCTCCAGTACTGAACAAGTCTCTTGCGGGCTACATGTTTGCTCGTTTGACACGTTTCACTTTTTAATTAGCCAATTAGCAGGCCTTGGGTGCAGAAGGCCCAGGTCATGTATTATTGATACAGTATTGAGCCAGGCTGCTGCAGGGGCCGGTTCTTAAAACCTGAAAATGAGAACACCAATTCTGCTGGCCATGCTGACGGACATATTTTGCTCAAACCTCATTCTTGTTTCGTGGGTCTGAAACTCCTATGACAGAGGATAGAGGAATTAAATTCGAAACAGTGTTTGCTCTGTGTCCTTCTTCGAATATTCACATCTGCAGCAATCCAGAAATATAGTTGCCTTCATCACTCTCTCCCTTTCAGACAGGGAAATGGAGGTGGGAGTCTATTCCTGGCTCCCACACGTGGTACTTACACTGACAGGGTGGTTTTCAAATGCTGATAAACACCTGATGTGTATGGAAATAATTCCTTAAATTTGTGTGGTTCCTTGGACTTTTCAGAGCAAATTGCCTCCCTTTTGCCAGGACTAGTCCTAGATAGAGTTAGAAATGTGTTCCAATTTTAGTTCAGAAGTTGTATAATTTTGTGTACTGTTGTCTGGTGTCAAATACTCACCCATGAACTCTCTGGGATGGCCCCCAATATTCTGTTGAGTCCCCAACAATGAAGGTTTTGCAGACAGACCTCAGCTTGAATCCTTGCTCTGCCTCTTCCCATATATGTATGACCTTGGGCAAGTTACTTTAACCTCTTATAGCCTCAGTGTCCTTACCTATAAAATGGGGATAATAACAGCACCTACTTCATACTATTTAGGCTTGTCTTAAGGTTTAAGTGAGATCATGCAAACAACGTGTTTAGCAAACAACCTCACGCACAGTAACCCCTTAAACAATATTAGCTATTATTATTATTACCACTTTAAAAATGAAAATGGGGGGTTGGGAGGAGGTGCTAGAAGGTAGATGGGAGGTAGGAAGTCAATGCCATTACCAAGATCTGAGGGTAAAGTCAGAGCCCCAGCCCAGAATGGACTAGAATAGGTGGGGTCTCCAGAGAAGGGCTATGAGAGACAGGTTAACAAGCCCCCTAGAGAGGTGGGTGCTGGCGGATGGTGTTCCAGGAACTAGGGCCAGCTGATCTCCCAGACTACTGATCTCTACGGAAAGTACTCTCTTCACATCACAAGTGGAGAAAATCAAACACGGGGAGGGCAACCCCGAGGGCGCTGCATACACTTTGGCCAGGATCCGACTTCCTGAGCCCAGACTACCAGGATGAGGATGCTTTCATTTCAGGGCCAGGCCCTGTTCCTGTTCCTAACTCACTGCCTCCTCTCCAGCCCCACAGGACCAGGTGGCTTTTGGACACACTGCTTGTTCAACTCGATGCACAGTGGGGATGCGCTCCAATCAGGCAAATAACTGCCCAGTGGTCTTGCACGTGGGAATCAGAGTGAGATTCTCAGTCTGGGTGGAAGGAGAGGGGAATTTAAAACTCCCTCTCGGCTTTCCCCACCTTTGTTTTAACTTTACACTTCTAACACATGTCGGCCGACCTGACATCGGGGAACACCTCAGGGCAGAATGGAGGTCTAGACCGAGAGAAGCAAGAGTTATAACTCAGGAGGGCAAAATAAAACCAATAGTTTTACCTTCATTTCGACCTCTGGGGCTGGGACTTCACTGGCTCGAGGGAAGACCAGCAGAACTGATGTGATGATTAGAGCACCGAGGAATACAAAAATGACAGAGAACCTGGGGTCAAAAGACAGAATGTCACAAGCACGCTTTACAGATTCCTCTCTAATCAGTGAGGTCTGGACTGGCTCTTCCTTGGAGCCAATATTCTAAGTTTCAGTCTATTAAGGCCTAGAGACCTGCTGTCCACACTGTCCAGCGAATTTAGAAATGGTCTCTCCTTCATCCCAAAGCCCTTCTTTCTAGACAGGTCCCCAGCTGGATTCATTCCTATTTATTCCCATAATTCCCAATTCCTAAGAATGGGAATTGGTAGTTTTAATTTTTGCCTCTACAAAAAATGTCATAATCAGGAAAAATCAAAGCAGCCCTCCCCTCTTCTCAATCTCTCAGTTTGTTTTCAGACTGGAATACTTTGGTAAATCACATAGTTCGCTGCTTCATACCGATACTGTCTGGCCAGAGCACAGCTCTATAGCGTTGTTAAAGTCAGTGTTCTGAGGCCAGTGCCCGAGAGAGAACCAGCCCAAGCCCTTGGTGCTCCTGAAGTGTCCCTAGGCCCAGGTTAGAGCCTCAAGACTGGACCTGCATGTGCCCTAAGTCTGAACAATTAAGACACACACACACACACACACACACCCCAAGAAATTCACAGGCAGCAAAAGCAGATTTCCTTTTCATCTCTCATGTCCCCCCATCTCCTCTACCGTGAAAACTAGAAAACACCACTTCCCTTCTCTCACCTCTGCTTCAAAGCATCAATAATACAGTCAGTGCTTATGACAACAGGTTAAAATACAATTCATTCAAACTGCCAGTAATTGCAGAAATGGTCTTCTGGATTCTAAATGTTTAATAAGCATCAGCGATTTCGCTTCTAATTGCTTTTACTTTGGACTCTCAGCTGGAGAGAAAGCCTTACCTCGCTACACCAGACGCTCTGGACAGCAGCACACACAGCAGCAGCACTAACACCCAGAGCAGGGCTAAGATGAACACGCCAGCCCCCACTCCGAGCACTGTGCCAGCCATCTGTGGGAGAAAGGAAGCATAAGCACTGCACCCCAGCTCAGCCCTGGAGCCTTCCCACCACCATAAAGTGTCTGCCCTCTGTGTGCAGGTACTGCCTGTCTTCCACACACTCCCTGCTTTTATAATGGTGTTCAGACAAAAACAAATACAAATACACATATAAACACAAATACAAATACAGAAAGTCCAAACTCATTATGATGAACTTCTGATGACTGGTGTGATAGGATGCATCAGTACAGGTCTTTGGGAATGTCCAATCCCTCAATAGGAATTAGAAATTTAAAATCCCCAAACCTTTCTTTTCAGTGAGGACAGAGAGGTTGCTTTTTGCTCCATGTGGGTCATTTCAAATTTGGTATGTGAGTTCTAGTTTGGCTTCCCCAACCCACAGCATCAAGCTGAACTCGCTCTTGATATAAAATGCTAACGGAGGGCTGTGAAGGTACCAGGACTCAAGTCAAGCACTACGGAGCCAATGTGGAAGTTGAAGCCCTCAGGCCAAGTCTGTGGTGTGAGCTTTGACTTCCCAGTCACAAGACAGAAATGTCCCACTCTATGGTTGAGTTTTTATTCATAAAAGGAAGCAAACTCCTAAGTCCTTGAAGACAGCGATGATGAAGAGAGGAGCCGTCACTATTTTGAGCATCCACAGTTTGCTAAGTACCTTACACACATATTTCATTTAATCATGGAAGCAGGCTTCTGAGGTAGATATTATTATAGCCACATTACAGAAGAGGTAACTGAGGTATAAGGTGAAGGGATATGTGTTAACGAACCAGTGGCTTACAACAAAACATTGTTCTCTCATAGTTCTGGAGGCCAGAAGTCTGAAATCAAGGTGTCAGCCAGGCCCAGCTTTCTCCAAAGGCTCTAGGGGAGAATGCTTCCCGGCTCTTATAGCTTCTGGAGGTCCAGGCATTTCTTGGCTTGTGGCTGCATGGCTCCAGTCTCTGCTTCTGTCTTCCCATGGCCTTCTCCTGTGTGTCTCTGTCTCCTCCTCTTCTGTCCCTTATGAGGACACTTGTGGTGGATTTAGGGTCCCCCTGAAGAATCTGGTTTGATCTCATCCTCAAGATCCTCAACTATGTCTGTGCAGACCCTTCTTCCACATAAAGTCACATTCAGTTTCCAGGGATTAGGAGGTGGGCACAATCTTTTCAGGGGCCACCATTGGACCCACTCCACTGATTCTATAGCACCTCCCCCGATCTTCCCCTTCTGGATCAGAGACAAATCTTAAGCAAATAAATTCCTCCTCAGTTGATGGTTTTCCTTACCCTGATGGTCAAAATACCACAAAAATTATGATCTATGAGAAGTTCTGTTATAAAGGCATTGGAAAGATCAGAAAGGAAGCCCTAAGCATGAACTGTCAAAAAACCAAACAAACACTTATTCAATCAACATCTATTATGTGCCTACCACGTAAAGCATTGTGTCACAGTCTGGGGATCATGAGGGCAAATAAGACATACCTTGTGACAGAAGCTGCAGGCCCCCTGGAGAACACTGTCATGTGAACAGCTCTCCACACCATATTGTGATAGGAGACAAAGTACGGTGGGAACTGAGATAGCGAGGAGGGCTTTACCAGGGAGGTGACTTCACACAGACCCCTTTGGGGAAGAATCAGTGTGGCAAGATGACGGGTAGGAATGGGGTGGGCAGAGAGAGGAGTGGCAGCAGATGAGGCTGGGCTCCCACTTGCCTCTCTAACTGGGGCACACCCCCCCCCCATTCGAGCACATGGTTTCATCTCGGTAATTCTAAACTACCAGGTGTTCTCCACCTCTGGCTCCTTGTACTTGCTGTTTCCACTACCTAGAATTAGCCCCCGGCCCCCAACAAGCCCTCTAATATTTGCACGGCTGGCCTCTCCTCATCCTCCTGATTTCAGCTTTAAACGTAACTTCCTCAGAGAGGTCTCACCTGTCGGCTCTCGCTAACGTAACCCCCAAACAACTGCTCTCCATCACGCCTTATTTCCTTCAGGGGACGTTTCACTAACTGTAGTTCCCATTTTTACTTATTGTTTACAGGCTGACTTTCTGTGTCTCCAGCCAGTATGGTGAACTCCAGGAGGGCAGAGACGTTATTTCTTGCTCACCACAGTATCCCCAGCTCTCCCCACTGATGTTATGAGCAAGAAATATTTGTTGGATGAATAAATGAAGCAGTGCTAACAAGTCCACAGAAATCAAGTAAAGGGGTGATAGGATCATACTTAGCTTTAGAAAGATGACTGTAACTTCTGGTCGATATGCTGGACAGACCTAACAAGGAAAGTACCTCACACAACAGTGAACCCATAGAAATGCTTAATAAAATAGAGCAAAAAGAATTCAATACACAGTGGAGCTCAGAAGCAATAAAGGAAAATCCTTAAGTGCTATAAATGAAAGTGTAATTCAAAGCCTGAGTGTAAGCAGGAGCTGAGCCCAAAGGTCTACAGGGTACCAAAACCAGCTGCAGACCTTTGCAGTGGTCCTCTCCCAGACAGATGAAGTCTTAGACCCATGATACAGAGAACTGAAAATGAGACAAGGCATCAACAGCATTATTGATAATAGCCAAACTACGGGAAGGCCCAAATGTCCACTGACTGATGAATGGATAAAGAAGATGTGGTGTGTGTGTGTGTGTGTGTGTGTGTGTGTGTGTGTGTGTGTGTGTGTGATGGAATATTACTCAACCATCAAAAAGAATGAAATCTTGCCATTTGCAACAACATGGATGGAGCTACAGTGCATTATGCTAAGTGAAATGATAAGTCAGCCAGAGAAAGACAAATACCGTAAGATTTCATTCACATGTGGAATTTAAGAAACAAAACAGATGAACATATGGGGGGGGGAGAAAAAAAGACACAAATCATAAGAGACTCTTGATGATAGAGAACAAACTGAGTGTTGATGGAGGGAGGTGGGGGGATGGGCAGATGGGTGATGGGTATGAAAAAGAGTACTTCTTATAATGAGCACAGGGTGTTGTATGTAAGTAATGAATCTCTGAATTCTACTACTGAAACCAATATTGCACTATATGTTAACTAACTAGAATTTATTTTTTTAATATTTATTTATTTTAAGAGAGAGAAAGACAGTGTACATGAGCGGGGAAGGGGCAGAGAGAGAGGAAGACAGAGAATCCCAAGCATGCTCCACATTGTTAGTACAGAGCCTGATGCAGGACTCAAACTCATGAACCTTGAGATCATGCCCTGAGCTGAAATCAAGAGTGGGACACTTAACCAACTGAGCCACCCAGGCGCTCCATTAACTAACTACAATTTAAATAAAAATTTGAAAAAATAAGAAAAGATCAAGGCCTAAAGCTAAGTCCTGAAAGGGCTCACCTCTCTTTGAAATAGGGACTAAAACATCTGCTGCTGACTTAGGTTGGAAGAAAGTTGGCCAAGGACCTCAGGCCATGGATGAAAAAAGAATAACCCAAGAGGAATCTGATTCCTAATCCCACACCACATGCAGGTGTGGGGTTCAAATCATACTACCAAAGTGCTATGGGAATCGCAAGTAGTAAGGTCAACATAAAACCAGTCCAAAAGTGAGAAACCCATAAGAGCCCGGCAGAGACAACTGAAACTTTTCTGTAGGGATGCTGCACAAGTCGGCATGCAAGGCTCCTGTGAGACTGGGTATAAAATAAAGATGTTTTCAGACATACAAAGACTGAAATGGAGCTCACCTGTCATAGGTGTACTTGAGCAAGAATGAAAATGAACCAAGAAAGAAGGCATGAGATGTAAGGAGTAATGGTGAGAAGAATACTGGGAAATATTGATGGTAAAGATTTCTGTAACGATAAGAAGGGCACACTTTTTGAAGAGTTAAAAACAAAGAACAACAGCAACATATTTATGGATATGTCTCCTCAGGCAAGGAAACCAAAAGCAAAAAGAAAATATTGGGACTACACCAAAATAAAAAGCTTTCATGCAACAAAGGAAACTATCAACAAAACAAAAAGGCAACCTAGTGAATGGGAGAAGATATTTGCAAATGATATGTCCCATAAAGGGTTAATACCCAAAACATGTAAAGAACTATAACTCAACACCAAAAAACCCACTCTAATTAAAAACTGGGTAGGGGCGCCTGGGTGGCTCACTTAGTTAGGCCTCTGACTCTTGATTTCTGCTCAGGTCATGGTCTCATGGTTCATGAGATTGAGCCCCACATTGGCCTCTGCACTGACAACAAGCCTGCTTGAGATTCTCCCTCTCCCTCTCTCTCTGCCCTTCCCATCTCATGCTCTTTCTCTCTCTCTCTCTCTCTCAAAATAAGTAAATAAAATCATTTTTAAGAAAGAAAAAAAATGGGTAGAGGACATGAAGAAACATTTTCCAAAAAAGACCTACAGATGGCCAACAGACACATGAGAAGATGCTCAACATTACTCATCAGGGAAATGCAAATCAAAACCACAATGAGATACGACATCACACTAACCAGAATGGCTGGGATTAAAAAGACAAGAGATAGTAAGTGTTGGTGAGGATGTGGATAAAAAGGAAGCCTCATACACTATTGGTGAAACAAATTGGTACAACTACTGTGGAAAATGGCACAGAGGTTCCTCAAAAAATCAAAAATAGATATATCATATGATCTGGGGCACTTGGGTGGCTCAATCGGTTGAGTGTCCAATGTTTGATCTCAGCTCAGGTCATGATCTCATGGTTCAGGAGATTGAGCCCCACCTTGGGCTCTGGCTGACACTGTGGAGCCTACTTAGGATTCTCTCTCCCCTGTTTGCCCCCTCCCCAGCTCATGCTCTCTCTTTCCTCACCTCTCAAAATAAATAAACTCTAAAAGAAAGAAAGAAAGAAAGAAAGACCATATATATGACTTAATATTTGGGTATGTACCCAAAAAAAATGGAAACACTAATTTGAAATGATACATGCACCCATATGTTTATTGCAGCATTTATTTACAGTAGCCAAAATATGGAAGCAACCTAAGTGTCCATCA